ATAAATGATAATGATAATAAAACACAATAAATAATAATAATATATAATAATAATAATAATAATAATAATAATAATAATAATAATAATGATAATAATTAATAATAATACATAATAACAAAACAACAACAACAACAACAACAATAACAATAATAATAAAAATAATGATAATGATGATAATAATGATAATGATGATAATAATAATGATTATACTAATAATAATGACAATGATGACAATAATATAGATACGAATTCTGATAACAATAATAATTATAATGATGATAATGATATTATTAATGAAAATTATAATAATGATGAAAGAGTATCATCAACTGAAATAATAATGATATTAGTAACAATAATAGTAGCATTGATAGTAATAATGATAATGATAGTAATGATAATAATGGTGATAGTAATAATAATGACGATAAGAAAGATGGTAGTAATAATAATAGCATTAACGATAATAATAGTATTGAAAATAAGGATAATATTAATGATAATAATGATAATACTAATGATAGCAAAGATAATAATGATGATAATGATAATAATATTGATAATAATGATAATAATAATGATAATAATGAAATATGATGATGATGATAATATAATGAAAACAATGACAATGATAATGATAATGACACTAAAATAAAATAATGATTATTAACCCGATATTTATCAACCTGCAAGAGATACTAAACCTATAACCAACCCTCAATTCTTCGACATAAGACTGCATCTCTACTACTATTTGTAGGCTTCCAAAGACTGTATCTTCTTAGACTGCAGTTTAAGAATTCAGCTGATCTGGTTTTACTACGCAAATGGTTGTTGATTTTCTTTCTTAATTGTGTCTTGATCTTCGATAATTTCATGTGATAATAATATGATCAATGAATCAATGATGATAATATTGATAAAAAATAACCACAATAATAACGATGATAATAAATATGATAATGGTAAAATGGCATCAAAAGCACAAGTAACGGGAAGCTTTTAAGCAATATTATACTAATGATATTAAATTTTACTTCTCAAGCTCAGAAAAAACAACAAATCTCTCGTGCTTTGTCAACTCGACCCGCCATACAAATTTCCCCTATTACGTCAAGCAAAATTCTGACACCAACCCTCGACTTCTTCGATTTCCCAGGAACACCTCCCTCGTTTCCCACAGGTGACTCTCGTGCAGGTGTCACCGGAAGTCCTCCTTTATTCTCCCTCTTACCTTCCGTCGCTAAGTCCTTCAAGGAGCGGACTCGAGGGCAAAAGTCTCTCCCCCTTTCTTCCAGTCCGGTGAACGTGAAAAGATGTCGGTTCGGTGTTTGTGTTGGAGGGAAGGTGGGCGGAGGGAGGGAGGGAGGGAGGGGGTGGGGGGTTGAGGTGTTATTGATAAGGGCAGGGTGTAGGTGATCATATTAGCCAAAGTGTGTTTGGTTGGGGGAGGGGAGGGAAGTGGAGGGGGGGGGGATGGCGTGTGATATTGATCTTCATGTGAACCAGATTTACGGTAGTTCTGGGAAGGGAGGAGGAGTAGTGTGAAGAGAGAGGAGGCAGATATGATATTAATGTTAATATCAGGCAATTGAAGAATACATATCGTAGCGATTATGATAAGGATAACAGCAACAACTGCTACAAAATGAACTACTAGTAAACGTAAAGCGTTGAGAACGAGTAAAAAACTTATATATATATATAATATATATATATATATATAGTATATATATATATATATATATATATATATATATAATATAATATATATTAATATATATATTATAGACATATATATATATATATATATATATATATTATATATATATATATATATATTATATATATATATATATATATATATATATATATACGTACACTCGATACATACATATAATATATATATATATATATATATATATATATATATATATATATATATATATATATATACTCGTGTTCACACACACACACACATATTTATATATAATGGCTAAATGGCTTACTGATATTAGGAAAATTAACGTTAAATTCTAAGGCTCCGATATCAGATGAGCTTCAGAGAAACATAAAAGGGTATTAAAGAATATCCATCATTTAGCATAAAAAATATTAATACATATATAAAAATATATAATACATTTTATTATGATACACAATATAACTTTTACCAATCCCTTAAGGCTAATAAAGAACAAAGAGTAATACAATAGATTTATTAAAAATATTAACAATGCTACAATATGACTAAGTGCATCAGTAAGCAGAGACATAAGAAGTAGGGATGTGATACGACTATTTATACGTCGTCTAAATACAGCGCACGACTGAGGACTTCGGCGAGTCGGCGATGGGTTCTCCTGGGGCCAAGAAGAGGGGGGGGGGGGTGTTCAAAGCACTGTGGGGAGACTCATTTAAAGGCGATTTTGGATACCGTTGATATATTTTTTATTCCTTTATTTTGGGATGTTGCACACGTATTAAAAGAGGGGAGAAGATATAGGTGGATGGATAAATGGTAGATAGGAGGATGGAAGGACGAAAAGCAGAAAGGAAAGAAGGAGGGTAAGATAGAGGGAGAGGAGGAAAGGAGGGGAGGGACGGTAGGGGGTGAGGAAAAAAGGGATGAGGAAGGGTGGGGGGGATGAATAAAGGAAGGGGGGCGGATGGACGTGATGATGGAAGAGAAGGATAAGAGAGGAGGAAGAAGAAGAAGAAGAAGAAGAAGAAGAAGAAGAGAAGAAGAAGAGGAGGAGAGAAGAAGAAGAGAGAGAGAGAGAGAGAGAGAGAGAGAGAGAGAGAGAAGAGAGAGAGAGAGAGAGAGAGAGAGAGAGAGAGAGAGAGAGAGAGAGAGAGAGAGAGAGAGAGAGAGAGAGAAGAGAAGAAGAGAGAGAGCGAGAGAGAGAGCGAGAGCGAGAGCGAGAGAAGACGAGAAGAGGAGAAGAGAGAGAGAGAGAGAGAGAGAGAGAGAGAGAGAGAGAGAGAGAGAGAGAGAGAGAGAGAGAGAGAGGTAGTGAGAAGAGACAGAGAGAGAAGAGAAAAGAGAGAGAGAGAGAGAGAGAGAGAGGAGAGGAAGAAAGGGAGGGAGAGAAGAAAGAGAGAGAGTGAGAGAGAAAGAAGAGAGGAAGGTGAGAGAGGGAAAGAGAGACAGGGAGGGAGAAAGAGAGAGTGATAGGGAGAAAGAGAGAGAGAAGAGAGAAAAAGAGAGAAAGAGATAGAGAGGAGGAGAAAGGGAGAAGGGAGGGGGAGGGAGAGAGGGAAGAGGGAGAGAGGGAGAGGGAGGAGGGGGAGAGTGAGAGATGGAGAGAGAGAGAGAGGGAGAGAGAGGAGAGAGAGAGAGAGAGAGAGAGAGAGGAGAGAGAGAGAGGAGAGAAGAGAGAGTGAGTGATGAGTGAGAGTGGAGAGAGAGAGAGAGAGGAGAGAGAGAGAGAGAGAGAGAGAGAGAGAGAGAGAGAGAGAGAGAGAGAGAGAAGAGAGAGAGAGAGAGAGAGAGAGAGAGAGAGAGAGAGAGAGAGAGGGAGAGAGAGAGAGGAGACTGAAGAGGAAAAGAGAGAGATAGAGAGAGAGAGAGAAAGAAGGGAGAAAGAAAGAGAGAGAGGAGAGAGAGAGGAGAGAGAATAGAGGAGAGAGAGAGAGAGGAAGAGAGAGAGAGAGAGAGAGAGAGAGAGAGAGAGAGAGAGAGAGAGAGAGAGAGAGAGAGAGAGAGAGAGAGAGGAGAGAGAGAGAGAGAGAGAGAGAGAGAGGAGAGAGAGAGAGAGAGAGAGAGAGAGAGAGAGAGAGAGAGAGAGAGAGAGAGAGAGAGAGAGAAGAGAAAGGGAGGAGGAGAGAGTAGAGAAGAGAGAAGAGAAGAGAAGAGAAGAGAAGAGAAGAGAAGAGAAGAGAGAAGAGAAGAGAAGAGAAGAGAAGAGAAGAGAAGAGAAGAGAAGAGTAGAGGAGAGAAGAGGAGGGGATATGAATCGGCGGATGGATGGATAGACCGATGCATGAATGAATGAATGAATAAGTGGGTGATGGACGGGTAGGTGGGTAGGCGGATATGTACGTATGGAATTAAGACTTAAGATTAAGATTTATGAACAGATCAAATTTGTAGGAAAAAAAAAAAACAGATGGATAGATAAATAGAAACATAGGACAGCAAATGAAATGAATGTAAAGAAAAAGTTATAGATGTAAAGATATTCTTTACATCCATAACAACCTGGATTTTATTTCAAGATATTCTCAAGTCAAAATTCTTGCTAGCTTTGTCTTCGCCAAGACACGTCCGCGCGAGCCTGCTTTCGGAATGTTACAGCTTGTGCTTTCAGACAGTACTGGGAGCTTCTGACAACCCAGAGAGGAAAAAAGACGAACTCTAAAGAAAAGGCAAACAGAAATTAAGGAAATCTACGGCTTTTGTTTTGTCGACCGGAAAACATTTACGGAAAACGGATTAGTAAAGCAAAACGGAATGCTAGGAATCGAAGCTCTCGTGTTCTTTATGGAGAACGAATTCCAGAAAAAAACCGCTTGACAAATCTAGCTTTTTGTGTCATCTACTGGACGGCCGGATGTGTTCCTGATTCCCTTTTTTTTATTGTTAAATAAGTTTAGTAGGGTAGGACGAGGCTATTCAGTCTCTAGAGTGAATGCAAAAATATATAATTTAATAATCCTTGTCCCAAATTTACACGGCAGTTAGGAAGGGAGCTTAAGGCACTACGTATTGCTTCTCTACATAATTTCTTGTCGCTACTAAATGTCGTCTTTGCAACTTTCTTAATCCACTAAGAAAAAGGCATTTCGGAGAGGAGGGCGCATCGTACACGAGGGCACAACTGGTTAACTTACATGATCCTGAAGTTCTTATGAATTATAACCTTATCTATTATAAATCTTCACACATATACACACAGAAAAGTCTCAGAAGTTAGTTCATGTCCGTACTAACTCTAATGGTAGTAATAAACATAATGATTTCACAATTAAGAGTAAGTGCTATCGGCCAAGTGCTCTCAGAAGAGGGGGAGAGGAGCGCCTTTGTGGTGGCGAAGCTGCTGGTTGAAGTTGGCGGCGGCTGCGGCGGCCGTGTACTGCGTCGGGTAGTGGAAGGCGGCCGCGGCGGACTTCATGCTGTCCATCGGGAAGTGCTGCCCCGTCATCAGCATCTCTCCTCCGCCCATGACCGTGCTGCGGGATGACAGGGGAATGATCACTGACAGCATGAGGAGGTTTCGTGTCAGAATGCAAGTGCTTGTAGGCCTTGACGATAGTACATTGTACGGCTATTCCAAGGGCCAAGACGTTACCTGTAGTTGTCGTAGGGGATGTGGTGGCCGTGGTGGTGGTGGTGGTGGTGCGTGCCCCAGGCGTCGCTCCCCTTGGCGTGCAGTTGCGTCCAGGACGCCTCGCCGTGGTGCCCCGTGGCGGAGGTGAGGCCGTTGGCGGCGGCGCTGTAGTCGGAGGCCGTGACGGAGGCGCCGTGGCTACCGAGGGCCGGCGGGCCCGTGGCTGCGCCGCCTACCGGGGGCAAGGCAGAGGTGTTAGTCGGAAAGGCTACGCTTACGCTACGTCATCTCAGCTCGATTTGTAATGTAATGAGGCACTTGCATGAATTCTTTTATGTAAAAGACACTATCTCTCTCTCTCTCTCTCTCTCTCTCTCTCTCTCTCTCTCTCTCTCTCTCTCTCTCTCTCTCTCTCTATATATATATATATATATATATATATATATATATATATATATATATATATATATATATCAACACTACCTAACAATTACAAGACGCGGCCACGCACCTGTCTGCAGGAGGGCGCCGTGGGGGCCCGAGGAGAAGATGGAGGAGCCGTTGTTGTTGGACGAGAGCATCGACATCATCTGGCTCTGGAGGTTGGCCTGGGCGCTGCTCTGGAGGCTCCCGTCGCTGCCCATTCCTCCACCTGCGCCGCCTCCGCCGCTTCCTGCTCCGCCGCCGCCGCTACCGCTCCCTGTCCCTGCGCCGCCGCCTCCGCCGCTGCTTGCGACCTGCTGGTTCATGAGGGCGGCGCGGGACCAGGCGTTGGCGTCTCCTGTGGAACACGTGGATGAAGGACTCGTCGAGGGAGGACGTCGAGCGCAGTCGCACCAGCGTGCGAGCGAACACAAACACACCGCCAAAAACGTTATACTAAATGGAACCAAAATCTGTTGGCTCCTCAATCAGTCTGGCAAATGAACAGTATACGAAACTCGAGGCTAAGATATTCCAGGAAGTTTTGAAATAAACATGCCAAGGGCACGTCACTAACCGTGGGCGTGGTGTGCCGCAGCCGCGGCCGCAGCGTGGGCGTGTTCATGAGCGGAGTAATGCTGTGTGGAACCGCCCATGGTGGTAGAAGCTGTGGTAGTGGAAGAAGTGATGGGCGCGGGCGCTGTGGTGGGCGGGTGGAGAGTGGGCGGTAGGCTGCCGGGGTAGGTTGTCGTCATCGCGAGGGCGTTGAGAGCTGTGACGCCCATCCCCTGGCCTGTCATCTGCTTCCGCCAACGGGCGCGCCTGTTGCTGAACCACACCTGTTGGGTACAAGAAGGGTCAGACTACGCAGGGCCCAAGGCCTACCTCGGGGAGGCGGCGGCTCTCTCCCCCGGCGCACCTGCTCGGCCGCCGAGGGGATCCTATCTTGACCCTGAAGGACACCCACGATATCTAATATAACCGCAGTGATAAAACCTTTTGTTAAGAAAACTGAGAAAAGTGAGTGATGTGTCTGTTTCATAAAGCGAACATAAATGAATCTATAGGATAGCATGTGAGCGTATGAGTACATGCGCGAACGGGTGCGTTATGTGTGTGTGGGCGCACGCGCACGTGCGTATTCTTTCCCTCCCACTCCTTAACACCTCCCCCCCCCCGGCCTCGCTTCATGGAGCTCACCTGGACCCTGGCCTCGGTGAGCTTGGTCCTCTGCGCGAGCTCCTCCCTCGTGTACACGTCGGGGTACTGCGTCCTCTCGAAGGCGCGCTCGAGCTCCTCCAGCTGCTCGGCGGTGAAGGTGGTCCTGGCGCGGCGCTGCTTCCTCTTGATGGGGATGCCCGGCTCGCTCTCCGTGTCGCTGTCTGAGATCGAGCCTCCTGCAGAAGATACGAAGACGCTCGAGTCACCATCTGCGTTTTGGGTACAGAGAGAGAGGGAGAGGGTCAGTGCTTGGGAGGAGGGCGGTCGTCAGCGAGGGGCAGTGCCAGGGGAGTTAGGCCAGGAAAGCCAGTGCCCTGAAAAGGTAGGAAGGGTCAGTGCCTGCAAAGGACGAGCCCCAATAAGGACCAGGGATGTGCGAAAGAATTCAACATTGCAGCGATTGGAAAAGAAAGCGAGGAATGCTATGACGGCAGTGCTTGATAAAGAAGGACTTCTTAAGAAGTCGAGGCTGAGAACTGAGGAAAGCCGAAGCCACTTCTTAAAGAATGCAAGACAGTATGCAAAGAAAGAGTCACCAAGGGGAAAAAAGCCAAGAGAAGCAGAGCTAATCAGCACCTGCAGACCTTGCAGCTAGATAAAGCAGGAGGGGTTAGTCTGGTATCTGCAGAGGACTTCAAAACCTGGGAAAGCCAAACTTTAGGATATATAGTATGAAGAAGAAATAGTTTATGATTAAAATCTCTCACCTCCAGAGCCTAGAGATAAAAGTCTCAAGTATTAGAAATATCACCGTTTGTGATCTAATCGTACAAGGGACATTCATTATTGATATTACATGGATGATGCTAATGTATACATTTACATTTTCATACAAAGAATATCATTAGAAATAACAATAACAATAATAGTAATCATAATTGATCATCACGATAAGGCCATATCAATTTTATTTGTTGCTTCTCGGATTAAAGAAGAAGAAGAAGAAAAAATGGAGCGACAAGGCGAAAAAAATATAAAAATGTCCGGCCTTGATTTTTTTGTTTAAATGCAAAACTTAAAGCGGCGAATCCTAGAAGCAACAAACAAAATTAGTGTGGCCTAATAATACAGTAATAGATATGATAATGATAATATTAATAACCATAATGATTATAATAATAATGATAATAGCAATGGTGATGATAATGGTGCTAATAAAATTAAAGAAAATGATAATGATAATAAAGATAATGATGATAATATTACCAATAATAATAAAATAATAATAGAAATAACAATAATAAAACAATAATGATAATAATAATAACAATATTATCACTAATGATAACATGAAGAAAGAATAAGAAAATTAGTCCAAGTACATGGTATGAGAAGCAATGACAACGTATATAGTATATACTACATATTTATATACTTTCGGACAGCCTGAAAAGAGAAAGTCCTCAGTCACGACATATTTTAAATTAACATAAGTGTCTGTTTACTACTTTTTACAACCTCTTTTTCTCAATGTTAAGTGGGTGCATTATAATAATTTACGTATTAAGAGTGAATTCCTGTTATGTAATATTATGTATCATTAATGTATCTGCTCGTTTCCTGTATGTGAGATGTGTCGAGATATCACTAATGTATCTGTTTCCTGCATGTGAGATGTGTCGACATATATACATTTATTTTTCTCTCGTTTTATTTTCTGTTTTTGTATCTCTTAATTCCTTTCTTTTGTCTCGACTGTTTGCTCTTATCAAAATTCTCTCTCTCTCTCTCTCTTTCTCTTCTCGTGCTCCCTCTTTCTCTCCCTCCCTATTTACTCACTGTATACACCATTTCTCTTCCCCCTTCTTCTTTTTCTGTCCGCACCCTATCTGTAACTTTACTATTTCTGTTTCTGTGTGTGCATGTGTGTGCTTGTGCACATGCGTGTGTGTGTATGTGTGTGCGCTGCCTCATCTTACAACCCCCGCTTTCCAACCCCATGGCCAGGGAGACATGAGAGGAAATGAACAGCATCAGCGGAGAGAAAACAAAACCTTCTCCGCCGGAGCGCCTGATCTGACCTTCAG